TTTTCACCGAGGTTGGGCTGTCGGTAAAATTCAGCCATGTAGAGTGCAATTTTGTAATATTAATGTATAAACATTGAATTTACTGTGTTCATTTTGCCTGTTTATGATTTGAGTTCATGTCTGTTTTAGATCCTCTCATATATTCCCTTAATTCATCAGAGCTGAATTCATCTTTAAGTTGTGCAAAATGGCATTAACAAAACAACATATTTTACACTTCCATATGAATTTCCTTGCCAATAGCCATGAAAATTTGGTGGAGTGTAAAGTAAGCTGTCATTTCTCTATTTCCATTTTGTACAATTCCAACTCCAGTCCTGGATGAATTTTGCTGGCAGTATTTCTTCGAGAAGTTGAAGCATTAGGTGAGAAAATAAATTAAACTACTGGCAAAATAATTAGTAATCTCACTTTAGTCTCCTTCTTTTATTCATATTTTCAGAGAGCTTGTTCTATTTGTGAAATCATGTCATCCTATACCCTCTAACAAACACAAAATATAAAAGCCGTTCTGACCGTCACAGTAATCCGAACTGACAGCTCCTACTCCCTCCAATGCAGCCTTGTAGCTTTCCCTTACCTGAAACAAACGACAGAAAAATATGATAGCAATTATGACAATCGGCTTAATAAACTATGTATAACAGGAAATGGCAAGATTGTTTGAATGATTGTTTGGAAGTAGAATATATTTGTACAAGAATTCATCTAAATGCTTTTTATTATCCCTCTTTTCCCCTTCACATGTCCTATTCACAACTCACTTTCCTACCTATCTTTATGCCATCAGTAAATTTAGCTACCGTGCCTTCACTCCCTTCATCCAAATCATTTATCTAAATTGTAAAGATTTGAAGCCCTGGTGCCAACTCCTGTGACATTCTGCCAGCCTGAAAAAGACCCACTTTTTCCTACTGTGTGCTTCCTGATAGCCAGCTAATTTTCTATTCAGAATCACAGCACAGAAGGAGGCCATTCAGCCCATTGTGCTGGCAGGAGCATGTTAAATGAGCACCGTTACTTAGTGCCAATCACCTGTTTTTTTTTTTCCCTATACCTGCACCTATGTTTTTATCCAAAAAATCATCCAATGTCCTCTCAATTGCCTCAATTGAACCTGATTCCATACCTCAACTACTCGCTTCAGCCTTGCTTCTTTTGCAGATCACTTTAAACCTATGCTGCCTTGTTCTCATTCTTTTTACGAGCAGGAACAGTTTTTCCCTATCTATTCTATCCAGTCCATTCAGGATTTTGAAAGCATCTTTCAGATCTGCCCTTGCCTACTTCTCTCCCAATCTCAACAAAATATCTTGATAACTGAAGTTCCTCATCCCTGGAACCTTCCACATGTAAATGTTACCCCCAATGTGTTATCCTTATCCATTCAACCATTGTGTGGACATGCACAAAAACCTCTACTGGGAACTTAATTTTTGGCATGCTATTACATTTGAAAATGACCATGGGTTTTAATTCCATTCGGTCACCTATGCAAGCTAGTGTCATCGTGAATTGTATCATCTTACGTGCTTGTGGTTTTCACAAGAATTGTTTTCAAACATTTCTGCATTTTGCCACTGTCTGATGATGATTTTTTGGAAACTGGTATTTATGGCAACATTGTCTTATAGTGGTCTTTGAGCAAACTTAGTCTTTTGCAACAACACAAATCTCCTTTATTCCCTAATGCAACTAATTAACTGTAATCTTCTTTCTAACTTTATTTTTATATATTTTTAATGTGGGCATCCCTGGCTAGGCCAGCATTTATTGCCCATCCCTAATTGTTCTTGAGAAGGTGGTGGTGAGCAGTCTTCTTGAACCACTGCAGTTCATTTGGTGTAGCTACATTCACAGTGTTGTTAGGGAAAAAGTTAGAAGATTTTGGTGTCCAGCTTCTTGAGTGTTGTTGGAGCTCCACTCATCCAGGCAAATGGGGAGTACTCTTTCACATTCCTGACTTGTGCATTATAGATGGTAGACAGGTTTTGGGGAGTCAAGAGATGAGTTACTCCTGCAGGATTCTCGCTTCTGACCTGCACCTGTAGCTTCAGTATTTATATGGCTATTCCAGTTAAGTTTCTGATCAATGGTGACCTCCAGAATGTTGATGGTGGGAGATTCAGTGATGGTAACGTCATTGAATGTTAATAACCAATGGTTAGACTCTCTCTTGTTGGAGCTGGTCATTGCATGGCACTTGTGTGGTAAGAATGTTACTGGTCACTTGTTATCTTAAATCTAGGTCTGCTCCGGATCTTGCTGCATTTAAACATAGATTATTTTGTTATCTGAGGAGTCATAAATAGTGCTGAACATTGTGCAAAAATCAGCAAACATCCCAAATTTTGACCTTATGTTGGAGGGAAAATCATTGATAAAACAGTTGAAGATGGTCGAGCCTAGGACACTACCCTGAAAATCTCCTGCAAATATGTCTGGAGCCAAGATCACTGAACACCAACAACCACAACCATCTTCCTTGGAGTCAGGTATGACTCCAACAGGTGGAAATTTTTCCCCCGATTCCCCATTAACTCCAGTTTTGCTAGGGTTCCTTGATACCACAGTAGTAAGTTATCACTGTGCAAATACTGCTTGATAGCACTGTTGATGATACTTTCCATCACTTTATTGATAACTGAGAGCAGACTGAGGGGATAGTAATTGGCTGGGTTGTAATAGTCCTGCATTTTGTGGACAGGACATACCTTGGTAATTTTCCACATTTGTTGTTAGATGCCAGTTTTGTAACTGTACTGGGATGCTTGACTAGGGGAATAGTAAATTCTGGAGCACATGTCTTCCATAGTATTGCTGGAATGTTTTCAGAGCCTATTGCCTTTGCATTATTCAGTGTCCTCCATCTATGTCTTGATATCACATGGAATGAATCGAGCAAACACTGGCATCTGTGATGTTGGGGAGATCCGGAGGTGACTAGATGGATCATCCTCTCAGCACTCCTGGCTGAAAATTGTTGTAAATACTTCAGCCTTATCATTTGCACTGATGTGTTGGGCTTCCCCATCATTGGGAATGGGGATATTCGTGAAGTTTCCTCCACCAATGAATTGTTTAATTGCCCACCACCATTTTCAACTGGATGTGGCAAATCTCCAGAGCTTAGGTCTGATCTGTTGGTTTGGAATCACTTAGCTATGTGTATCACTTGATGTTTATGCGGTTTGAAGTGCAAGTAGTCCTGCATTGGTTTTTGGTTTGCCTGGTGCTGCATCTGGCATGTACTCCTACACTTCTCATTGAACAAGGGATGATCCGCAGCTTATTAGTAATGGTAGAGTGGAGTCTTTGCTGGGCTATGAGATTGCAGATAGTGTTTAAGTACAATTTTGTCCTACTGATGGCACACAGAACCTCATGGATGCCCAGTCTTGAGATGCTATAACTGTTTGAAGTCATTTAGTACATTGTTAGTGTCTTACAACATGATGAAGAGTATCCACAGTGTGAAGATGGGCCTCGGTCACCACAAAGACTGTGCGATGGTTACTCCTACTGACAGTGTCACGTACAGATGCACCTAATGAAGACATGTTAGTGAGGATGAGGTTAAATATATTTTTCCATCTTGTTAGTTCCTTCATCACCTGTTGCAGACGCAATCTAGCAGGTATGACTTTTATCAGAGTAATTTATAACTGAGTGGCTTGCTGAACCAATATTCAATTGGAACTGACCACATGTATAGATTAGACTTGCTAAAGTGACAGACTCCCTTTCTCAAGGAGCAATTTGAACAAATGGAATTTAAATTAATCACTTTCTTACAGGACTGTGGACATATCTGCACCACATGGAGTATTGTGGCTCAAGAAGATGGCTCACCATCACTTTTTAAGAGGCAATAGGGATTGATGATAACCTAACCAGTGACATTCACATCCCATGAAAGTATAAAAATCAAACAACTTTCAGTTGTTTTTCTAATGATGGTGATAGGTAATGGCTCACTCAGTCTGTGTTGCTATGGCAACGTGCACTTTTTACATGTGTGTTGTGGATGGAGATGATAAATGCTTCAAGTTTCTTTTCATCACATGGCTGACTGGGAATCTCTCCCATTTTTGCTACTTGCCATTGGTGTGTGTTGGAATGATTTACAGGTTGATGCTCAATCTTTTTGTATTTTTTGGTACTAGGCTGTAAATTGCCACTTTTCATATTGTTTTTGTTGATCATTTAGCGCAGACAGAAAGCTTTAATAGCAGATAAGAAATAGCCAATAGAGAACAGTTATTGAGCCTGACAACATGAAAGCAATTAACATTACAAATGCTTACAGCTGAGTTGACATGATCATTGAAATAAACCCGAGTTAATGACTGAATTTGTGCCTTTGTTAATCTAGTTCCCTCGTACTATGAAGCTAAGTAACAATATCAAGCAATTCCTCCAATTAAGTCAACAAAAAAATCTCAGACGAAAAGAAAAATCAATCACACCGTGTTCATGTTCCTGATTGCTATCCCGGGATTTGTAAGAAAAGAGCTTCTGAATATTTTATGAGAATGGATTTATGTTCAACATGTTTGACACTTCATGGTCAAATATTCTACCAACATTTACTGCCTGGGATCTATTTGGATGAGGTTCTGACATCTGCTAGGATCAAGGAACTACAGATGAGCAAACAAATCTTAAGAAGAATGGTGAGAAAAATACAGAAAGTTAAATTCAACTAGCACAGGTTTGCAATTCCAGTGATCTGGCTTCTGATGACAGCTTTATATTTAATCCTGCACTCAATTCCATTGACGTTATTGGGTCTGAGTGTTGAGAGGCATGTACAAACTGGCAGATGTGACATCATCAGTTTTGTGTTTCTACCTAAGTTGATTCCACCTCTATAGAAATTAACAAATGGACCTTGTAGCTGTTTTAGAATATTTGTTTTATCTAGCAAATGAGATGAACTGTGATTAAATTGTTAATCTGATAATAGCTAATTTGTTACTGCACTGTTTGTATTGCAGGTGGCCTTGATGAGGATGAAGGCGTAACATATAACATGTACAATATGGTCAACGCCCAAGCAGAGTTTCATAAAGAAGTCATGCTTTGTGCCTTCAGCAACATCCTAACATGAAAGGCATTCTTGAAACTAAGAGTCGTACTTTATATAACCTAACCTATGGTCAGACCAAGCAACCTTCTGCATTATTTTGTTTTTTCCGTTTCCCTGGCAATTGAGAAAATAAGATTGCTTTCCTCGACTTAGCATTCATTTTGAGCTTTTATTTAAGGGTAAAAGTTATTCCAGTTAATATGGTGCAGCTGCGATCTCTCATCACTACAGTTTGATTCAGGCGCACATGGATTAAATTGAAGAGCTAACCTTAAAACTTGTCAATAAGTAGGTATCTTTCCAATGGTTATTATTTTTATACTGACTTTCTTGTTTCTAGATCATAAGAGTGCAGGAAGGCGATTAAACTTAGGTATTGGTTCCCAATATAACCCAACTCGTGACACAAAATGGTACTGACTCATGATCATCAATTCTAATCCTCTTTATGGAGTGGAGTCTCAACTCACAACAGGCTTCTATGCTGACAAAGTGGCTGAATGGGAAATCAAATGTGCAAACCTACATCCAGGATGCCAAGATGTGAAACTGATGAGTGTCCAGTAATGGATTGAACAAAAGAGCAAAATCTGGAATGCAAAGCTTAGCTTTCAATTATTTATAATTTTAATCTTTTTGGACATTAACATTTCAATAAATAATCCATTCTTTGCCCATTATAAGATGTTTTCCTCAAAAATGTTACATTAGGGATTTGGGGTGACAAATATGCAGTCTGTTGTGTTAATATATTACACTATACTCCAAATCAGGAAATCACGCTTTACCTTCATGTGACAGCTGTGCTGTACATCAGCCGTGTATTTGGAACTGCTGATGCTCGCACATATTTCACATAACACACATTTGAGTTAACATGCTGCAGTATGCACTTCACTATGTAACATGTAGTGCCATTAACGCGTTATAGTAACTATCTGTAATGTCTAACATGCGACAATCTTACGATGCTTGTTGGAGTCCTGATGTTTAGATAGTTTGAGGTAATGTCTAACTTATATGGAGTTTGGATGCAAGGATTGGGCACTGAGGTTAATTCACTGGCCCTTATGCTGCTGATTTTCTAGTCAGTAAAATCAGCAGTTGGAGAATTAGCCACAGGGATATGTGATCCAATTTTCCAATCTGTGCTCCTGTGAAACAAATGCTCATGAATAAAAAGAAATATCATAAGACTCATAACTCTGGAAAGTATGACACACGGTTGTGTTAGATAAAATATTACACAACATATCTTTGTCCAAAGAACAGCTGGGGCAAAATGCCAATTAGCCTCTGTGACTTGCACACTGTAGATTTTGGCATGCTATGAGGCGTGTCTCAGTTGGCTGAAGATATTGTAAGTCACTTTCAGGTGTTGGATACAGATGGGGAAGCAAAGTAGACAGAATTGCACTTGCAGCCTATCGAAGTCAATAAAATTGAATAATGGAGTATATAACGGCCAATCTCTACAATTCAGCCTCCCTAGCCATGTCCTTCCACAAGCTTAGACTTTTTGGTTCTCGAAACCTTTTGTTGTTCTACTTCAAAGCTGCTGTTACTGCTGCTGCCAAGATAGCTAAAAATTAGATTTAGTAGGGTTACTTTAGAAATTGGCTGCATCTTGTGATGGACTTAACTGTAGTGTCCTGATATCTTCATTGAGCTAACACCACTTTTCGTCTTTACTGTTTAATAAATCTGATATTTGATAGTGAAAAGTAGATAGAATAAACTGACGGTGTAGTGCAATGTGGAGAAACAAGGTGACTTTTTGGTGAAGTTTAAAATTCTGTTGTACTTAAAGCATTGGTTAATGTTTTCATATAAGATCCCCATGTGTTATTTTAACCAAGTCAATAATACATTTAAAATAAATGGGTTAATCATTTTGTTGAAACACACACATTGGAACTTGATACAAATCTGTTAACTAGTATACTAAAAATAGTGTCCAATGGAACTTAGACTGCACAATTTTGACTTAACTCTTCAAAAAAAAAAGGAACTTATGGGCCCAGAACACTTTCCAGTATCTAGTTACTGGCACTAATTTTTATTTTGAGCCCAAAATTATTGGTGGATCTCTCACAGCCCAAGTAAGTCATCACACAGTGATTGTCTTCCGAACAATAGTAATACCCTGTGTTTGGTGTGGGGATCTGTAGCAACTATTAGTTGTCTGCATTGCAGGCATGCTTGGTGTGTCAAAGAATTGTGAAAGCCCAAATAAGGAGTGCATGATGATACACATGCAAAATTTTATATATTATACATTTTTCCTTCTCTTCCAAAACTGCGCAACATTTTGTTGCTAAGAGGCCATACATACAAGCTATTCCTGAGCTCCTGGCAATGCATCAGCTCAAACTAGCCACTAGCAATTGTATCAGAGAAAACCCATATTTTTTTCTCATCTTCCAATTATTTGCCTCGCCCCCTAGGGCAAATGAACAGAGCTCTGCTGAGTGCTTTTCCTTTCAGCAACAAAGCTGAGGTTAGAATTTTGACCTGTACGACATTGTGAGCAAGGAATGATACTTTAATGCATAGCTTTGTTGATACAATGACTTAAGTACAGACCCATCGCCTCTGAACTTTGCATGTTAGTAATCCCTTTTGAACCTGTGAGATCCTGTAAGAAGGAGAAACTGATGATTACTGATAGGACTCCAGGAATACCTGGATTTTATTGCTGTTGGAGGTGCAGAAATTGCATCCCTTGCACTAATGGTGTATGACTAGCGCAGTAACAATATCAAAAAGCTTTTAGTGTAGAAAAATGCTGATTCTCTGCCATAGTCATTAATATATTGTTCACCTTCTTGACACAGGAATGACATGGTTAAAATTAATGACAGCACATACTGAGAGCAGTTGCTTATAACATTTTTGCAACCCTTTGTTCACCATTAACTATTACCTACTACTAGGACGGCAGCTTTGTGATACAGGGTGACACCAACAGCAAGGATTCAATTCCCATACTGGGAATTGAGATTATCATGAAGATCCTACCTTCTCAACTTCGCCTGAGGCATGGTGACCCTCAGGTTAAACCATCACCAGTTATCTCTCTCTGATGAGAGAGCAGCCGTAAGGTCACCTGGACTCTGGTGACTTTACCTTCTTACTGCAAGCTATAAAGGCTGGGGAAATTGGAAAATGTCAGTATTGGAGGGCTTCTTAACATTGGGAGTATGGTATGTGGTGGGAGAGCACTGAGAAAACTTTTGTTCATTTGTGTGGAGGAGTAAATTCCTGTGTATTCATTGCAATTTATACACTACTTAGTGAAGGCAAGGAAGCAAAACACAGCACTCAGAATCTGTCACTTTCCCTCGCCAATTTGTGAGTTTGAATAGATGGGAACAAAAAATTGTCTGCACCATCCTCCCATCTGCATTTACTAGTAACCTTCAATACACCTGCTTCAAAATATGATCTTACCTGAATAACATGCAAATGAGAGAAATACATAAACACTGTGTTTCCTTTAGTCTTTCCCCTTCCAATTGTGTCTTAGCAACTCTGGATGGCAAAGATAACTCCATTTCAGAATTGTTCAGTGGCCACATAAGCCTATTTAAAGCTGAAAACCAGAAAGTCCATGCAATTACTCATGGTCCAGAAATAGAGAAAAGAAAAATTACCATTTTGCCAACAGCTCAGAAAGCTATTGCATCAAAGCACTATCCCCATCCTAGCTAGAATCTCTGGCACTAGTACACCTGCTAAACATATTATTAAACTGAAGTTGGAAAAGTTGGTTGGGGTCAGCGGTATACCTCAAGTCTAGGGTTGAATTCCTTCTCAGCTGAAGATATAGCTCAATTCTTTGAAAGGAGAAAGCCTAACCTACAATCTGTAAGTGTCAATACACGTTTTTAGCCTGACCAGAAAGTGCTGCATTGTCGTGAGTAACCTGACAACAACAACCATCTCATGCTCTTATAAGGTGAAACCCCTACTGTGAAACCCAACCACAAATGTGTTATTTGCGTGCTTCCAAGTATTTCCAAAATGCCAACTGTATATCTGGAATTGAGACTTCCTCCCTTCCTTAATACAAATAGAGTTGCAAAGAATTATAATTAACTTTAATATCATTTTATTTATTTCTGCTGGTTTAATAGGATTTTTATTTTTGTTTAAACATTCAGTGTTGATTGCACTGACCAGTTAATAGTTTTTCTGAGGAGTTGCTGAGACCAACAAGGTGCACACAGTTGAAATGATACAGGAATTATATGTTTTGTCTTTTTTTTGTTAATAAGTAGATGTGACCAAGATGTAGTGGAAGTATGGCTTTTTATTCAGCTTTACCTTTCCCATAAAATGACTGAAGACATGAGTATCAGCTCAATTGTTGTGGACATTTGTGTAGTACTAAGCCACCGAGAAACAAAAACAAATAAAATAATAACGTTAAAATTAATCATAATTCTTTGTGACTCTTATTTTTGAAGAAATAGGAGTGATGATGCTACCTCCTTAAAGAGATATGTACAAGGGTCAAATGTAAAACATATCAGCTAGAAATTAACTTTAACTTAAATAGATATAACTATTATTTATTTGTTAACATGTTTGCATCTGGTAATTTATATGTGAGATAATTTAGATTATTTTAAGTCTTGGAAAGGAAGATGCCAAATTATTTATTTATAAATAGATTTGAGATTGTATTTTTCATGTTTGTTGCTGATGGATATTAAAGCTTAAAATATTTAAGTGGAATTTAGTGTTTTGATTCAACTATGTCAACGTGTTAAGTTGACGTTTTAAGTGTTTCTTTCTCTGTTCCTCCAGAAAGGTGCTATTCCAGTACCTTGCCCAGTGACCTAGTTTTCGTGTGTCACTGATTGTAAGTAGGTTAATTCCCCATGTATATTGTGTTAGCAACAATTGTTTTACTCATGTGCAGTCACTATAATAGAAAATGTCTTACATCCAGTACTGGTAAATGTATTTTACATGTAGTCACTCTACAAGTATTGAGTATCATTCAGTGTAAAACAGTGTATTCTTCACCAGTCTAATATTCTGACATGACTTTATTAGACTCGGCATGTGGAAATGCAGCTTCTATGTTTTAGGCCAGCAGTTGCGAGTAATTCATTGACTTCAAAATTAAGAGTTCTCCAACACCAAACCTTGCGCCAACACTTTTTCTCTGTACCCACTCTCTTACCAATCTCGTCCATGTTTGCCTTTTGTGACACATATCCCCTGTCCTTTGCTGTTACAAATCCTGTTGATCTGCTTGTTATTGGACTTGCTTTCTTTTGTTGGCATGGATTAGTTATTCTGGTTCATTGAGCTGACCTTGATGATAGCTTTGCTCGCCATTTAGAGTTTAAGATGTTTCCATGGTGCTGCAGACCGGAGCTTTCACACATGTTACACATTACATTATCAGATAACCAACAATCAGTGAACAAGAAAATAAGGAAACACGAGGCTGAATCTTAACCATATTTTGATGAATATTTCTTTGATTCTCTTGGAGATCTACTGTCTGCGAGGCTTCATGCGATCATCTCAAACTTGTCTCATTATCTATCTTGATGTC